GTGATTCCGTCCGTGTTTTCCGCATTGCAGAAATCATACGGCAATACTTTTGTGCTCCAGAGAACACACACAGATTTAAAACAAGTAAATTATGACAGAATTTCAATCCCTTGGCAAACTATCCCTTAAGTTTTGCACAGAGAAACAGGCAGCTACTGTGAATGCATTAATATTCTGAGTCCATCACAACAGAGTCCATTTTACCTACAGCCGACCATAAATACTGACACAAATTAGCCTGAAAATCCCATCAAATCCCTCTTAAGGAGCTGCATTGGCTGGTCACCCGTAGTGCTGCATCTCACGCTGCAGATGTGGATCTGTATACCTCAGCAGCTCAGCCTAAATCAGATCAGACGGCATCATAAACGCTACCTGTCCCTCGTAAATCACGATAAAACGGCCAAGCGGTGGGGCGCCGAGGTGGGCCGCGCTGAGAGAGCCAGGCAAGAGCGACACCTGCTCGGGACGGGAGCCGCGGCGCATTGGCAGCACAGGAAGTGAAAGCTCTGAATGCAGCCAAAGCGTCGGAGCCAGATGGATAGAGCCATCAGACAGGTGGAGCCCGGCGAACCCAAATCCAGCCGCCCGCTGCGTCTCGCTCATAATCAGGACAGCCAGACCCAAGATGGGGATATTCAAGAGCACGACGGGACCTACATTCACATCAGAAACGCCAATGTTTATAGCCAGAGGATGATTTAATGCTCACATGCTGCTCAGAAAGGCTAATGGAGCTGTTTCACTTAAGTATCAACACTGTCTCAGATGTTTCTGCTAAGACTCCTCAGAAGAAATATATATAGACAAAATAATCTGTAATACTCTTAAAAATAAAAACAAAGCAATTATTTTGGGTGAAATAGTAATACTTAAATAATTTTTTAAAATATTTTATTTTTATATAATTATAAATATATTTTATTTACAATATCTTTTGTGTGTGTGTGTGTGTGTGCATGTATGTATGTATATATATATATATATATTTAATAATATGTCTAATTAATTATATATAATCAATTACATTTTTTATTTTAAGAATTATTTATTTTTGTATGTAAAATAACATAATAATATATACACATACATACATATACTGTACATATATGTACACAACACAAAAATAATATAACACACAACTTCTTGTAATTTCTTGAATATAATTATATACATCAACACATTTATTAATTACATATATATGTAAATAATAAATAAACTAAACAAAAAATTACTATATACTGTAGGGGTGACCCCGAATAGTCGAAGATTCGATGTTTCGATAGGAGGAGCCTGATTCGACTCCCAATCTCACAGTCGAATATTCGCTGAGGTGTTATGATCATGCCATTTTGATTTAAAACTGACAGGCACAGTAAAAGACTGGATTTTTTTCGATTAGGTAGGGTACAAGTGATTTCAAAACATTTAAGCCGATTTATATATATCGTGTATAGCCTATATTATTTATGTCATATAGGATGCATTTGGTTGAGCTGCGCTGCAGTAAAGCGCTTCATTGTAGTATTACGGTGATTATCTCTTCAGCGCTCAGTGCGAGCAGTACAAACAACAATGCAAAATATTAATAATTATGACTGGGACTGTCATATACATAACATTATAATGAGAACACTATTATGATAAAACGCTGTGATTTTTTTAGAGTTTAGTTGCCCTGTTTCTGCATGTTGATGCGTGAAGAACGCGTCCACAAAAGGAGTTTATACA